AAAACAGAGAGAAAAACAGAAAGAGAATTGTTTCCACAAAGAAAAAGATACAATATGTCTTTACTTTTGTGAAATACACTGAGAGAAGAATGCTTTATCTGTTCACTAATAATTCTATCTTTCCGTACCTTTTTTATGTTTAAGGTTAAATGCTTAGATCGGTTGAAATTTGGTTTGAACAGATTTAAGTACCACCGCCGACTATCATTGATTACAGTCTTAGGTTTCATACAGTGGTATTTTTAATATCAAATCCGATCCATGCAAATTTCTAAAATAAAATTCCTAAATGTATACATTCCTTACCTAAAATTTTCAGTGCATGGAGATGTCGAGAGTGAATAAAAGAAGGAGAGGGAACATTCTCTTTGTATAATTGTTTCGACGTGCTAAAGGCGACTTGTTATCATCGTAGCTTTCATTTGTTGACGACACGTCTTAACTACAACTTATATAGCGCACACAGAAAAAAAAGAATTGAGAATAAAAATTTCCAACATTTTGCGAATATTTACAGTACAGACATATTCGTACTGCAAAAAATCGACAATAGTGTTGTTAATTATTGCTAACACTTAGTGTGTCCCAAACCATTTGAAAGAGTGGGCGAACTTTTCTTCCAAATAGTGTGAAAGTATTTGAAGATACTTTCAGTATCCGAATAAAGTAACAAATTTTGTAGTTAATTATAACTTTAAAATTAAAAACATCAAAAAACATTAAACCAATAAAAATGTTTTCTGTGTACACGTCCGACAGTGTTAATGAAAGCGACTACAAAGCCAGCGAGAGCGACACAAAGAGCTGCGACAAAAAGCGGTAACCGGTAACGAGCGGTAAAAAAAGTCGATAAGAATTCCAGTGATAAGGGTTCTGCCGTTCTTAAAGCACTAATCTGCCAGAAACTCGCCAATTCGCAAACTAAATATTTGCTACAAATGAAATCTGCTAACAAACAAGCTCCATTCGATATTATCTTCTCCCTTTCATTATCACCTTTCATATATGTATGTTGGTGTATGTATGTATCTTTCCGCTAAGATCTCTCTTTCTCATTTCGTACTTAAAGATCAAGCGTGTTATTGCTTAACAAGATAAAATGTCGTGACGATCGCACCTGCAACATACGAATGTTTTCTTATCAAATTTTGCCACGAAAATATATGTTGCTATATTCGACTAAATTAATACACTTTTTACCATTTTTTATTCCAAAATATTTATGCTTCTTGCCTAAACAGAAGTTTTAGAAAGTAGACTCAGTTCCAGTACAAATTTTAAAAATATATTTATACTTAAATTTAGTACATTAATGCTCTATTTAGAACCGCATTAAAATATGAGTACAACTCCACTCTCTCTCTGTAGCTCTAAGAAACAAATTTTAACAAAGTTAGATAGCATACACAATTATACACTTTTTTCGAAGGTGTTTTCTGTTAACTTCAGATTTAGGCTATACAGTAAATGATAACTACTTTCATAATTATAATTGTAACTGTTATAAAGAAATCAAGAGAGAACGCTATAGTCGGGACATTAACCCGAGTGATACCCGTCACTCGGCTAAAGGGAGTGCGAGGGAGATGGATATATAACATTTTTTTGATTGCGTATAACTTTTTAATGAATGGTACGATTTAAAAAATGTCTTCTACATTTCGATAGGTATAAATATACACAACAAAATTGCATTTATACTTCTCGGAAATCTTTAAAGGTGTGGGCTTTAGAGGGGGCGTGGCACTCGGCTGAAATAAACTTGCGCTGCATAGGAAGCCCAAGAATATATGTGGGAAATCTCAACCTTCTAGCTTTTGTAGTTTCCGAGATCTCAGCGTACATAGACAGACAGACAGACGGACATGGCTATATCGACTCGGCTAGTGATCCTGATAAAGAAGATTTATACTTTATAGGGTCGGAAACGCTTCCTTCTACCTGTTCCAAACTTTTGCACGAGTAACGGGTATAAAAATCTTAAAAAATGCGGGCACTAAACTGATGTTAGCGTTAAAGAGTTCGGTGGGTGCGGCACTCGGCTGAAGCTAACATTGTGTCCTATTTTTGAAACATTTCAAACGATATAGTAGAGTAACTCGATTATCATTACTCATCTAATGGATGAGCGAAGGAGATTGAGACATGCCAGCGGAAGGCGACTGAGACGCGCGAATGGTACAAGAAATTCGAATCTGTAATTACGTAAACATCAAATAAGTAATCAAAAACAACCTACTAAAAATACTACATTTTAGATCGGTCCTTAAAAACCTTCAGACAGCAACCACCTCAGCCATTTAAAGAAATTCTGATTAAGCTCACCCAAAACAAATATTAAATGCAGCCGGGAAAATAAATGCGTTACTTTAACCGCTCCGTTCGAAAGTCGGACCTTGACTGCGAATCTGGAGATGCAATTGGACGCCAATGGGGGGCACCCGAGACTCCAGACTGAATCCGAAGCCAATACCAAAACAAACAAATTGAACAAACAACTGGCATAACTGGGTAATTAATTAATGCAGCCAAGAAGCCGAAAATTTAATTAGTATTTAGCGCGCTCGGCAATTGGACAAACAATCAAAACGTAACGGAAGCAAAAAAAAAAAACGATAAAAAACGAGCTAAAAAATGCAGGCAAAAAAACGCAAAATAACGAGAACGAAAAGGAGTGCAAGAACTAAAGAATCACCGGATGGGAGAACGATGAGGAGCGCGGCTCCAGAGGTTCCAACTCGCTGACGTCTGTCTCTGGATTGACGAGGGGGCGGTAAGTATAGAAAAAATAACAGAAAGTAAACGTGGGAGCTGCGCACAGAAATAGACAATACACTCAGAGAAAAGCTTAAAATTGTTTGTATATTTTACTTAAATCCTGTGAAATATTAAAAATTTTACAAATTGTAATCAAAAGGTTGTTCTTTAAGAGAAATCATTTATTCAAAATAATCGATAGACATTTGTATAATAATTCAATTTTCAATTTTTAAATTAACTTTAAATTATTAATTTTCTGATTGGTAGTTTGGTAGCTTATAGCTTTTCCCTTCCTTATTCTGAACGTTATCTAAACTGGGATATATATGCTTAAATCCATTAGCCGTAGAGACTTAGGGTATATTGTATTTGTTGAACACGATGTAACAGGAAGAAGTAAGCGTTTCCGGCCCTATAAAGCATCGAGTCGATCTAGCCATGTCCGTCCGTCTGTCTGTAGGTATAACCACGGAGATATCGGGAACTATAAAAGCTGGAAAATTTGGACCAAACAATATGTGTAATCCACATGCCAAAAAAAGTAGCAATCACTCTACTATTTTAAAAGCAATGAGTAATTAAGTTAAAAAGGCGTTGCATGGTCAGTGGCATCACTACCCACAGATAGGTGGCGCTCGCTTGGAAGTGTGTGCCGCGTCAATATAAATGAACTGGCGCCATCTAAGAGCGAGCAAAGGCCTATTTCAAATTTATCAACAAAGTAACAACTATTTCATAGTCGATGACTTTACCTTTTAAGGTAACTTAAGGCAATTGTGGGCGTTAGATTAGGCATCCCACCGGGAAAGTGAGAAGGTGGTTATTTGTGTGTTGAAAATCCTGTTCCTTTTAGCAGAAAGTCTCGGAAATCCCGTATCTTTTAGCAGGCGACGGTGTAGGGAAAATGTAAATTCCCTTGGAAAACCACATAGAAACCCCATTCAACCCTCACTTTTTGTGACACCCCCGTGTATTTTGAAACCAGAGACGGAAGAAATGTAAGGGGTAAATGAGGTTTTGTCCCTTCCGCTTGTATGAAGAAATCCTCATGAAAATATCATATCCAGAGGAATGTTCCCGCTGGGATGGCGCACGGCTTAAAAAAAAAACTTGCGCTGCTTGGGAACCCCTAGAATCGCAGCGTTAATAATCCTAATCAAGAATATACATATGTATACATTATATGGTCGAAAACGCTTCCTTCTACCTGTTACATACATACTTTCCTACGATTACAATATACCCTTTTACTCTACAAGTAACGGGTATATAATTATATTATATTTCCTTAGTTTTGCTGGAAATAATTTAAGCAATTATATTTAGGAAAATTAATTTCTCTGGTGTTTTTTGTTGAGTGTAAAAGGTAACGCACCTCCTAGATTCGGAGTAGAATTTACGTGCGTCAGCCAGCGGCGTCCTGCCGATCCGCCTCGCCCACCGCCCCCGAACTTATCGAAGCTGTTCCCCATTACTTGTTTAAGAGTAGTTGTATTTGCTGGCTAAAAGGACACACATACTCTAAATTATGTTCATCCGAAAACCACACACACATGTTAGGAAAAGAGAAAGAGAGAAAGTCTTAGGGAGAGCAAAAGCTTTTGGCATTGACATTGAACAGTCAGCTGTTGGGGAGAATAAGCAGATGGACGGGAAAAGGAGAAGGCAGGGAAGTGGAAGAGAAGAGAAGAGAAGCTGCCACTGCAAGAAACCCGCAAATAAAGTGAGGGTCAGCCCCCGCATGCAAAAATCTACGGTCGAGGTCACCATAATAACAGCACTTAGGATTGGTCACTTTTTTTTGGCAAAGTTTAGTTAACAATTTGTTCTCGAATATTAAAAATTCAACACATTTTTGTTATCTTACAAAAAATGTACTAAAAAGAAAACACCGTTTTTTTTTTTTGGAAAATCAAATAGTTTTGGCTTTTGAACATCTTTTGTATTCGTATTGATTTTTGTTAAAATTTTACACTTATATTTTCGAATGCACTTATTGGGGACGAAAGAATCAGCAACTAAACCGTAAATAGAAATTTGTTATTGGATTTTCAAATTTAGAGGCACATTCAAGACCATCAAATTAATCATTCCCGTTCATTGCTATTATTGTGACCCCCAGTATAGGCACACAATCTCTTACGTACGTAAGATGTTTGCAGTACATTAAAAGTAAAAAAGCTTAGTTTTAGTTGGTTAGACTGGGTTTTAGTGGTCTAAAAAAACAGTCGAGCGCATACGTTGCCATCCTGTAATCCCAAGTAGAATCCGACGCGCTGCTGCTGCGGGTGATTTTGTTGCGGATTTTGCTGTTGCTGCTGGGATATATCCTGATAGCCAGATTCCAATTCGGTATAGGACATGGTTATCCCGTGTGATAGTGTTAGGGCGGGTTACGTTTTCCAAACAGGAAAAATCAAACACTGGGCAACTTTTTATTAAAAATGTTTCTTTTACATTTTACACCCACACAAATGTTGCCACGTGTAAAAAAAAGACGAGTGAGGGTCTATATTTTAATAACAATTCTTTTTGGTCTCACTGCCCTTCGATTATACGAGTTACGAAATCTGTTTTTGCTTTGGCTTTATTATTTGTATTATTATTATAATTTGGTGAGAGAGAGAGAGAGCAATGAAATCGCTGCCGGCGGGTGAAAGAAAGTGGGCGGGGGAGCACAAGGGCAGCGGGGAGAATGGCAGGGTGGTCGGGGTTGTTTGGTCCAATGCTGCGGGTTAGGGGATTTTTGTTAGTTAATTATTGTTAAATAAGGTTTTTCTCGCTTTTATTCCTTTTCTGTTTTCTTTTAGAGCCAACACACGCACACACGCTCGCTGCAAAGTTTCGAAAAATAAACTTTTACAGTGTGACCGTAGCATTAGCGATTAATTATACCGTCTGACTCAAATTAGCGTCGTTGAGTTGGCAACAATAGCGGAATGCTGGGACTTGGAACACGAGGGCTGTTTTCATTTTTATTTTGCTATTTGGGGACCAAAATCAGGTTGCTCACTGCTCCACTCATAGATGTTGTTTTTCCCGCCATTAATTTGAATTTTTCTCGTAGTCATTGTTTCAATCTTCCCAGTCAAGACGAGCAATTTATAGAGATCCATCCACCATCCGTTCTTCCTCTTGACTGTGAAAAATGGAACGATGACTGCGAGAACAAATCAAATCGATGGCGGGAAAAAATTAAATATTGCTTAAGCTCATTGTTTAGTGGCTATTATTGAATTATTTGTAGTTTGTTATGAGCGGAAAAGCATTCGCAAAAAGATTGCCATGAGTGGGCCAAAATGTAAGCTGTTTTGCTTACGAAAACATTAATGTTCAAAATATGTTTTGCACTTGGTAAATAATAAATAATATTAGTTAAAAGTATACTGTGTACTCCTATAAAGTTTCAATGTTGCTATAAATCAGGGAACGTAACTGTTATAAGTTTTATTTTAAAAATCACACTTTAACAGTTATTTTCTGATTTGTAAAGTAAAACTCAAAGAATAACTGTTATTTTTTGAGTTTTATAATAAAAGTTGACAAATAACAGTTATTCGTCGTGATCAAAATAAAACTCAAACTTGATTTATGGCGATTTTGTGGGTAAACAAAATTTAAAAAAAAATATAGGTATAAAATATGCGCGGTTGCCTTTTTTAACAAATTTTTAGTAAGTTATAAAAAGCACGGGTATTATGTTTTTTTTAATTATTTCATTTTTTCAAAAATGTCAAGGGAATAACTGTTATTCATAAAAATCAAAAAATAACAGTTATTTTTTGAGTTTTATTATAAAAATCAAAAAATAAAAATCATTACTGATTTGTAAACTACAATGGCTAATAAAAATTGTGGTGTATTTAAAAAAATTTTAGGACCCTTCTAAGTGCGTGATTTTTTTGTATGAAAAATTTACAATAACAGTTATTTTCGTTCCCTGCTATAAATTACCAAAAACACCAATCTTTAATATTGTTTATAAATGGATCGCTTAAAACTGGGAAATTTCTGATTTTTGGATAATTTATCGACTTTTTCCATTTGTTAGTAAAAAAAACCCAATAGCCTAAATTCTAATAAAATACAACATCAGCCTTGTCTTTTCATGTGTATATTTTCCGACTTGTTATTATTCCACGAAATTTAATCTCTAAAATTGTTTAATGAAACAAAATGAAAACTGCGACTTATAGTTAGTATATGAAAGTAGCGAAACCGGAACACTTAACTACTGTTATTAAAAATTTAATAGGTGCTTAATAAGGCAGGCATGTCTAACCTATGACATTAGAATCGAATCAGCGGTGTTTGAGAAGTAGCTTAGTCTTGATCCGCTTTCGATCCCGAGCGATGATCTCCATGCGCTCCTTTGTGTTGGTCTGGAAAAAGATCAGGTGAAGCGTGCGACTGGCCGAGCAGAGCTGTTTGAAAAATAGCAGAGAAAAGAAAAGGAAAAATTGGAAAATTAGGGCTGATTTGTAACAGTAATGCAAAGTTTTGTAAACTTCCAAAAAGCCTTGACCTCCGAATATTTCCCAGGTACTTTGAAAGATCTTTTAATAAAATAATAAACCTACTTACTAATAGTTGAAATGTCTGTATTATCAGATTTTAAGAACATTTTTTCAAAGCCCATTATTTGGTTGGTTTAAAATCGTATGCTTGATTATGGAACGGTTTTTTTGACACCGAGATTTGCATTTAGGGGAAAATAAGCTTGGAAGAGATTTCGGTGCACCCCTGACAGTTACGCCACTGACCACAAAAAATAATACAACAAAATAATACAACAAAATATTGAACATTTTACCCTTATAATCATCCAATTTTTTTAAAGGAAAGTTGATTAATTTTAGCTATAAAAAGTTTTTAGAAGTTTTATATGGATGACAACAAATCTGGAAAACAAATTTACTATTATTTGTCCATGTCTATAAAGTGCATGAAAATGGGCCAAAAGTCTCAAATAACTGTTATTTACGGCTCTGAAATTTTCATAATTTTCATAAAAAGTATAAATAACTTTTTTGTAAGCTAATAAAAAAAACAATTATTTATTAAAATAATAATAATTTAATAATAAAAGATAAATAAAGATTAAATAAATGTTGTCATTTAGTAAATACCAAAATTCAGACCGCTGTTGTACAGCGTACAGGAGCGGTAGAGGATGGGTAGTGATGAGAATTTGTTTTGATTATCAATACCCATATACTCATCCGAAATAGTTCGAATCGGACCTTTCATTAAAAAGTCATGCGCAATCAATGTTTTATATCTCCATCTGGCTTTGAGAGCGAACGCAACCCACCTGTTGAAGCAGTCGCGCCTTGAGGCGTAGATTAGTGGGCTCCTCTGCATCCAGGCCACTTCCGCAGGTTTCCAGATGTAGGTTGAGCACGAAGATCAGGGTGTCTCTGATGGTCTGAACTACACGCTGCACTTGCTCGGTGGCAAAGAGCCGCCGGATCAAGAATCCTCGCACTGCGGCATTTATACGCGTGGCTGCCCACTGGCGCTCTTCCTGTTCCAGATTGCAATGTTTCTGGCGGGGATCAGATGCGAAATTAAACAGGGAAAGAAGGCACTTGCTGAATGGGTTAGTAATTAGGTTAGCTACGGCTGCTAGAGGTTTGGTCCCTCGATTTCCTCGCAGTCTTTGTTAAGGCACTTGGTAAACTGGCCACCCGATTTGCTACGGCTTCTTCCGCTGCTTGTGTTGGGGAAGTGGAAATAATAGAATGGGGATACAAAATGCTGATATTAAAGATAATACTACCCAGGCTTACACTTTGTTAAATTAATTAGGAATTCGACATTACATTACTTATTTTAGCCTTAAAAGGATATTGTATAAATATTGGAGCATTAAATTAAAAAATTATTAAATTTAATTCAATTTCTAAGTTCTAAGTTAAATTACAAAAGTAACTTTCTTTTGTGAAAATGAAAACCTTGGGTAATAGAAGAAAGTAAAGCTTATTGGCGGTAGGACAAGGTCTGGATTACTTACATTGCTTAGTCGCTTTGGCGGTGAGGTGCTTCTTGCTGGGGGGTTGTTCCTTTTCGATAAAGTGGAGCTGGCGTTTACTGGGGAATTTTTCGGGCGTCCTCCTGCACTTCCGGTCTTCGCAGGCGATTTGATCACCTCGCGGCCTGCAGCACTGTTCAATTTCCTGGGACTACTGCCCACAGTTTGCGATCGTCTCCTCACAGCTTGTGCACTTCGTCTGCTGTTGGTTAAACTGCTGTTCCTTAGTGGCAACGATCGCGGTGTGCTGGGAGCACTTATCTCCCCCAGCGGCTGTGGTTCCGAGTCGTAGCCCAGCGATAGTTTCGGACTAAACAACCGCTTCCGAGCGGAAGAAGGGGCCGCCGTTTGGCAGCTGTCCTCCATAGAAAGAAAGTCATCCAGCTCCTGGACGCCAAGTGGCGTGGCATCCAAAAAGGAAGACATCGTAGGCGTGGGTGAGCCACGGTGCAGGTCTCCCGTACTGGTGCTCTGCGACACCAGTCCATCGGGATTTTCGATGCCCGAGGAAACATCGATTTCAGCGCACAGTTCCTCAATGAGCTGGCGCTGCTGATGATCAAACTGCGTCTGCATGCGACGACGCTCCTCCTCCTGGTGCAGGACCAACTGATTCATTCTCTCCCGATGGCTACGCAGGTAGCTACGCACTCCTGCCTTCCGGCTAGCTTCCAAAGGACAATGCTCGCCCAAGGCCCTTTCTATAATACGTTCCACCTCGCGATCTCTTCTTGAGCAGCTGCTGCCGGCGGTTGTGGTGTTTGTGGTGTTGCTGCTGTTGCCCCTTGCACTGCGATTCACCCGCTTAGCCTGAGACTCTATGGTCTGCCTCTGGAAGTTGGCCAAACTCTGGCTAGGCCTGACCGCCAGGGCCTCGCGCTGCATATGCTCAACGAGAACCTGAGAGGGCTCCTCCAGCGTAAAGCTTCTTGAGCGCTGGAAGTTAGCTGGCTCTGCCTGCGTTTTCTTCAACTCCTGCTGCGGCTGCTCCTTGCGTTCAGCCATGGATGGACTGGTACTAGATCGCGGGATCCTCTGGTCCTGAACTTTGGGCAGAAGTTTACCCAGTCCCGACTGCTCGAACTGGAGGATGCGATCGGTGATACGATTGTGCCGCCTGGGGGACAAGTTCTCCAATGGCTGGGGCGTGGGCGGATCCACCTGTATGGTGGGCAGCTGAATGCCCAGGACGAGAGTCTGCGGACGCGCCTGTCCCTGGGTGCTGTCGTAGATGAAGGTCTCCGTTTGCCGCAGCTGGGACAGGCTCCTCAAACTGGCCATGTCGGATCCCGCCGAGCGTCTGGCCAGGCGGTAGCGCTCCTCCAGCCTCAAAGCCATCTGGCGAGCCAGCTGTACCTCGCGCCGCTTGGCGCTCGTCATCTGGAACAGACGCGAGTCGGTTACGCCAGAGTGAGTGGCACTCCCTGACTGAAGATTTTGACTCACCAGCGGCGGCAATATGGCCTGTCCATCCAGGCGGAACCGGAAGGAGGCGGGGTCCAGGGAACCGGGGCCACTGCCCTCGGAAGGGGCGCTCCAGATCGATATGGTGGTGGTGGCCGTGGGTGTGGTAGCCTCACTTTGGCTCCGGCTCAGCTCAACGGCCGCCAGCAGCTGCTCCATGGCCCTACTAAAATTGGTAAAACTAGCGTTAATTAGAAGGCCACAACAAACGCGTGAAACCCGCTTACCAAGTGGCATCCATTGGTGTTTTGCTACTGGAAATTTCGATTGGGACTACGAAAGGTGGGGGAACCTACACAAAAGGCAGCTAAACCTAATTGTTTTGTTAAAATTTTCGTTCAATGTCGTCTATGTTTTAGTTGGTTAGTTGCCATTAGAGATGATAGCTAACGATGGGACTGCGCCAGCCAGCGACTTCCCGCCAAAAAAGAAAAAACCCCTGGAGTTAGTCAACTTAATAAAATTGACTACCGAAAATATGTGAATTTAGTAATTATTTACAAGTGTTGACATTGCCAAAAGCATTAGCTTGAAAAAACCACTTGCAAACACTTCCGATCAGAAAAGGAAAATACTTTTAAACGGCAATTTAAAATCGACAAGAAGTCCGTGCAACCCTCATATAAGCAATCGATAACCGGCTGACATATCTAGAGAAAAAAACGTTAGTTATGAACATTTTTTAAACAAGATATAGAAAATCTTAGCGATAACCTTTACCTCATGAAGTTCAAAAAATCACTGCGACCATACAACACAAAAAATCAAAAAAATACAAAAATGTTTATTTGCTGAATGGCTGTTAGTCAGTTGTCCCATACAAAGTCAATTTTCAGAAATCTCAGCAATTCAACGGTCTCGAGGCTGCTGTAAATATTGTTGAATCGTTAAAAACCATAGTTTTTACCTTTTTTTTAAGAAAAGTCGTAATAATTATTTTTCGTTAATTAAACATTCATTGTCATTCATATATTAAAATTATTCCATGCATTATTACTCTGTAGTAATCGAGTTTCAAATTTGTCAAAAATAGCAACTATTAAAAGATAGCAAGTCCTCATGGATAGGCTCTGTGGGACGGAAATTTGGGGACACGTTCCTATGTATGCAAAAGGACGCTCAGACAGACGGTATTTATCACATCGCTCAATTAGTTCGCGGCCCGACATATAAGGAGCAGTAGTAAGCAAATATAGATATTTTTTATCGAAAGTGTCGATTACACTAGTTTACAGCCAAAATATATAAACGCTGGGACCCTTTTTTTTCGTTTACTATTAGGTCACTGAACACGATGAAGAAAAAAAAAATTTTTCCAAAGAATAGTTTTGGAGATATTTGAAAAAGCTAGATTTTTGACCACTTGTTTTATTAAATGTAACAGTTCTCAAAAACCGATGGTCCAAAAAATTTTTACCTGGCACCTTTCAAAAGGAAATAGATGCACCTTTCCGAAAAGGTATGGCGCTTTGTGATCGGACCAAAATTGATGGACATATAGCGTCTGAAAGTTTCAAAAAAGTTTCTTTTTTGGCTTTTTTTTTCATAGCTAGTTTTCAAAAATTTTTTAATAATATTAATAAATATTTCTAAATTATTTTGAGTATGCAGATCTGAAGGGCCGTTAGTCCCAAAAAGTTGAGGCCGAATATTGGCAAATCGGGTGTACAATCTAGGAGATATGCATAGTTTAGTAAAATGACTCAAAGTCATCACAAGTCAGCAGTGGTACCAAAAATGTTTTTCAGGGCAAGTCGCCCGTTTAGCGATTTCTAATTTCGAGAAACGATCAAAATAGTGTCATGTAATGTATGTGCACTAAATTCAAAGACATTTAATTTGTTTAAAAAAAAATCGCGAAAGAAAATCTTTCGATTTTTTCGACAAAAATATGGTTTTCTGTAAACACCTAGCCCCCAAAAACATACAAGCATTACTTTGACATTGATCCAAAACATGTACACAAGCCATGGACTCCAAAGTCAATTTGCCGCACATGTTCGACAACATTACTTTTGTTTAAAAGTGGAAAAGAAGTATACCTGAAGTTTGGAAGGCCGGTTCTGTGGAGAAATCCAATGGAACATGTTACTGATTGCTACTTTTGATTAACTACTGTTCGGGGTGGAAAATTTGCGAAAGTAGTTTACCCCGACGTAGCTTCAGTTTCCAAAGTTGAACCACATTCCTTGCATTTTCCAAAGCCAAAACAAAATGTACCAGTTCATGAAGAGACGACTTGTGATTCTAGTGAATCTGAAAATTCGGAATCTGAAAATTCGGAATCGGAAAATTCCCTCATGAAGCTTATTAGTCAAAAAGATCTTAATGACTTGTGCCGAGACTTAAATTTGTCCAAAGAAAAGACCGAAATTCTTGCTTCCCGATTAAGAGAAAATCTTTAGTTTTTGAGAAATATTTTCGGGGTAAACTACTTTCGCAAATTTTCCACCCCGAACAGTAGTTAATCAAAAGTAGCAATCAGTAACATGTTCCATTGGATTTCTCCACAGAACCGGCCTTCCAAACTTCAGGTATACTTCTTTTCCACTTTTAAACAAAAGTAATGTTGTCGAACATGTGCGGCAAATTGACTTTGGAGTCCATGGCTTGTGTACATGTTTTGGATCAATGTCAAAGTAATGCTTGTATGTTTTTGGGGGCTAGGTGTTTACAGAAAACCATATTTTTGTCGAAAAAATCGAAAGATTTTCTTTCGCGATTTTTTTTTTTAACAAATTAAATGTCTTTGAATTTAGTGCACATACATTACATGACACTATTTTGATCGTTTCTCGAAATTAGAAATCGCTAAACGGGCGACTTGCCCTGAAAAACATTTTTGGTACCACTGCTGACTTGTGATGACTTTGAGTCATTTTACTAAACTATGCATATCTCCTAGATTGTACACCCGATTTGCCAATATTCGGCCTCAACTTTTTGGGACTAACGGCCCTTCAGATCTGCATACTCAAAATAATTTAGAAATATTTATTAATATTATTAAAAAATTTTTGAAAACTAGCTATGAAAAAAAAAAGCCAAAAAAGAAACTTTTTTGAAACTTTCAGACGCTATATGTCCATCAATTTTGGTCCGATCACAAAGCGCCATACCTTCTCGGAAAGGTGCATCTATTTCCTTTCGAAAGGTGCCAGGTAAAAATTTTTTGGACCATCGGTTTTTGAGAACTGTTACATTTAATAAAACAAGTGGTCAAAAATCTAGCTTTTTCAAATATCTCCAAAACTATTCTTTGGAAAAAATGTTTTTTTTCTTCATCGTGTTCAGTGACCTAATAGTAAACGAAAAAAAAGGGTCCCAGCGTTTATATAGAAAAAAAATCAAAAATTGTAAACTAGTGTTATCATAAGCTCTGTGTAAAAATTATACAACTCTGTGACCACGTGCTTTTAAGTTACAAATTTTTAAGTAATACAACCTTTGGGTTTTTCTACAATATGGAAAAAAAGGAATTTCGTGTCCTGATTAAGCACTGTTTTTTGATAGGAAAAAATACAGTAGAAGCAAAAGCTTGGCTTGATAAACATTACCCAGATTCTTCTCCGGGAAAATCAACCATCAAAGATTGGTACAATGAATTTAAACGTGGTCGTGTGGACATCAAAGACGCTGAACGCAGCGGTCGCCCAAAAACAGCTGTTACGCCAGAAAATGTGGCAAAAATCCGAAAAATGGTATTGACCGATCGCAAATTGAAATTAAAGGAGATAGCTGATGCCTCAAAGATATCGGAAGGCAGTGTGTTTACGATATTACATGAACATTTGGACATGAGAAAGCTCTGCTCGAAGTAGGTGCCGCGATTGCTAACATCGGACCAAAAGCAACAACGCATCGATGCTTCCGAGACGTGTTTAAGCATGTTGAAGCGCAATAGGACCGACTTTTTTCGCCGTTACGTAACCATGGATGAAACCTGGATACACCACTATACTCCAGAATCCAGTCGTCAGTCTTCTGAGTGGGTGGTAGCCGGTGAAAGCCGTCCGAAGCGTCCCAAAACACAAATATCTGCGGGTAAGGTTATGGCTTCTGTATTTTGGGATGCACATGGGATTTTATTTATAGACTACCTGGAAAAAGGTAAAACAATAAACAGCGAATATTATATAAAACTGCTGGATCGATTGGATCGCGTTATCAAGGAAAAACGTCCACATATGGCCAAGAAGAAACCACTGTTTCACCAGGATAATGCACCATGCCACAAGTCTATGGCAACAATGGTGAAATTGAGTGAATTGAGGTTCGAACTTCTGCCGCACCCACCTTATTCTCCAGATATGGCCCCCAGTGACTACTGGCTTTTTTCAGATCTCAAAAAGCACCTCCAAGGCAAGAGATATCGATCAAATGAGGAGGTGATTGTCGATACTGAGACCTATTTTGAGGGTAAAAGTTCATCTTTCTACAAAAATGGCATAGAAAGGTTGGAGAAGCGCTGGACTGATTGTATAGCCGTAGATGGAAACTATATTGATGAATAAAACAAAATTTTCAAAAAAAAAAGTGTTTTTCCTTGTTAGGCCGGGAACTTATTGAGGGGTGTGATATGCAACTGCGAACAAATTCAGCATCAGCTTATTGTTCATCCATAAGAAGTAAATGTCTTAGAAAGGGATGGAGAAGAAAGCAAATAAGTGTACTATTTTTATTCATTATATTTTCCAAATCGGTTTGGCATTTCTTGGGAAATCTCTGAAGGGTTATTTAGTGTTACAGTAGTTAGATACAGTACTCGTTAGTTACAGTACTCGAAAGCAGTGAAAAAATTTAAAGTGTTATACATTTAGTGGTCCAATTTTTGGTATTTGTACTTATTTCACTTATTAATGGCCTTTCAAAAATTAAATATTTCGGTCTAAAATGTCAGTCATTGTTCATTCAAAAAAGAAAACCAGTAAACAGGTTTGGATTTTGTGGTACCATAAATTATATATCCGACGATATCTTAAGAACTTTCTAGGGTTTAAGTTGTACTGTAAAATTTTTTATTTTTAATGCATTTCATTATCATAAATATAGCTACTTTTCAGCATTTAACTAGCCAAGCCTCCACCATTTTCCTTGGTATTTTTAGTTAGATTTTTTCATTAGACTTGGGGTATTCTTTTTTACATTTCCTCGTAAAACATAAAGAATATCGAATTCACCGACTATCGACGTTTTCGCATCTCTAAAAGGAATCGGATGTGTTTTTTATCATTGCGTTGATTGTTGTTGTGGCGCGATCGAATTTGTTTGGAAGTCGGGAAATCAGCTTTATCATTTGAAAAGTGTTTTGATTTAGGACACCGTCAGCTATAACGAAAAGTATGCTAATTCTGAAATATATGTTTATTGTTTTTGTTTGCCTTGTTGTGTGTGGTGTATTACATAGTTGTAATACTATTTAAAAACGGTTTCGCTTACGGCTATCTGAAATACGTGTTTTATCTTGAAATTTTGCTTATTTGAGGTTTATTTTGCTCTACATTCGCCTCTTTAAAATTGCGTTGTAAAATGCGAAAGAGTGCGTGCGCGCGTGTGTGTGTGCAGAGGGGGGTGTAATGTCTGCAAAAATAGATTTTATCAGGTTTTTCTTTGTTTTTTGAGTGCAGTACGAAGTCATTATTACCCTTTTCCCTCTTCTTTCCCTTGCTTTTACTTAATGAAAATACGGTACAAGTGTAAGGAAAAACAAAAACAAAAGCGCCAAGTTTCGCACATGTATATACTGTGTATGTATATATCTGTACACACACGATGTTTGTGTGAATGTGATTCTGTTTTTTTGTATATCATTCTGCGACGCAATTGAAAAAGACATCGAAGGCCAAACAACTTTGCTTTTTATACGTTTTTTCTATAGCTTTAGTTGTTGCTGCTGGGCGTTAGTTTTTGGCTCCGTTTTTGTTATTATTATAACAACTTTCAGGCTTTTCCACGCGCCTCGCTCTCATTTCTCTCCCACGCGGGCTCTCTTCCTCTCCCACGCTTTAGTGCCGTCTTTTTCGCACGCAGCCGGTAAGCAAAGCAGTAAACAACAACGATACAATAACGACAACGACAATAGAATACAGAAGAATAAATAAAAAAAAGGAAAACCGGGGAAATAGGTTTTTACAAATTGAATGGTTAATCTCTGGTTGAAAAGTCGCAATAACATGACCACCTTTTCCATGCTGCACAACGCAGTTCTCTTTGTTTTTAATTGTTTTTCTATTTGTGCAAAACAAGTGCGCTGGTGTGAGTAAGACAGGCCCTCAAAAATCGGAAAAACATGGCAAAAACATTTTGGTAAATTGCCATGTAGCCGAAAAATTGCTCATGCAACAGTAATAAATATTATTATTTTATTTTCTACGCAGCAGCCGCGGATTTTAACAAAGAGCACACAAAGGAAAGGAATAAAGAACGGAAGGATAAGAGCAGAGAGTGCAAATCTGTTACTGTTACTCGGCCCATGCGCACAGCTGATCCAGAACCTGGCCTAACGGTAAACCGATTGTCTCGGACTTGAAAAGCGGAAATCGAAAGCGAAACGGAAGTCGCCTGGAAAAGCGGAGCGGAAAATAAAACTGCCCGCTAACCGCGGGAGCCGAGAACCGAAATTCAAAGCCACACAGGCTATAACAAAGAGAATAAAGTAGACCAAGCAAATTGAAGATGTTCCAAGCCCTGCCCCGTCCATCAAGGTCCACGCTCCACTGTGGAGCGGCAGCCATCGTCACAGTCATCCTCATGGCCTGGTATGTCCTAATCTATTCTTGAATATGTATTTGATTTACGATTAAATCATTCGAGTAGTGATTTATAATTTAAAATTTACCACTAATCACTAATGTAAGGGGAAGGTAGGGTCTTGCAGAAAAAAAAATTTTTTTTTTAATTTTTTTCTTATAGATTAACATCTTAAGAGAATACAATAAAAGTTTTAAGTCAATCGGACAAAAACCTTAGAAGTTATGCTAAAAGTAGTACCCTAACCTGTAAGACTTTAGGTACGTAAGTGCATCTTTGAGGGCGTTTTTCTCGAAACCACGTTTTGAAAGTCCGTGTTCATCGTCATTTCTAAACGGCTCAACCGATCGTTTTCAAATTTGCCGCATATTTTTCTGCATAAAAAAAACCCGCCCCCTATGAAGAGTTTTTTTTATTTTTTTACTTTAAACATTTTATTTTTAAGCCGAAAGTCAAATTTTTTTAGGTGAAAAACGCGTTTTTGACTTTGGACTATAAAAAAAAAAATTCTTAAAAATAAAAAATTAAAAAAGGTCTTCATAGGGGGCGGGTTTTTTTTATTTTCTTAAGCGAAATGTAAAAACAAAATGGAAATCCGATAACTTTTAGCGGAGGTACAGTGAACACCGCAAAACGCGTTTTTTTTAATAGTGTTCCAGCAATCGCTGTGCCACCGATATATAAGCCGATATTATCGGCTATAAAAACTAGTGGATGTTAAATAAATGACACTTAATAATATACAAAATGTTTGAAATAAATCCATCCAACCAGTTTTTACAGAAAAAAATTGCAAAGTTAGGCGATTTTTTGGTGCCAAAGACCCTTTTAATTTAATAGGAATGATCTGCAAGGGTATATAAGCTTCGCCTGGCCGAAGATAGAATCCTTTCTTGCTATTATTTGCTTTTTAAAATATACAGATAGAAAGAAACTACGATTTTTCTTATCAGTTCAAGAGCGACAAACTTGTGGTTTCTTGTTGCATAAGACTATATCTTAAAAGAATTTTAAGAAATAAAACTCGCTATAATTTCATACTCTTTCGAAATATAACATTAAGTAATAACAGTATAATCATACTACTATTTCAGTGGGGTTTAATGACAATTTTTAAGGATTAATTATCCTTGTAGCAAAATTCGCTCTCTTTAGGTACTAAAATATTTAAATTTTTATTTGGGTTAATCGACTTTTAATTTATTCCCAGCCTTTTAAATCTCCTTCTCTCTGAAAGAAAGTAGGACGATGCAATGAAAATGTAAAATATAGTACATAAAACTGTATAGTCGGTGACACAAGCCAAGTTGTGGAGCTGTAGGACAAAAGAAAGAACCGCGTCGCGTGGCCAATTTCGAGCTGAAAGTTGCAATGTTTTATTTTAGGAATATATATGCGCACACATATAGAATGTTCCACATATGTAAAAGCGAACCGAAATGAAGCTCATGTGCATGCACATGCCCATACAAAAAACACCTGTGGTTAAAACGGTAGTGTGCACTTTCGAAAGTGACTGAAATTGACATTTATGCTTGCTATAAAATGTTTTTTTTTGGTATTTAAAGTTCCTTATTAATTTTGAATACTACCATTTTAAAATGTATCTTTTAAAATATTTATTGATTAATATCCCCAATAATTGTGAGTGGTAAAAATAATATGTTTATATAAATTGTTAATATATAAACATAAACATTAAAAATAAAATAACCACCAATTGTTTCCATTGTTTTATTTTATTTTAATTATTTTTTATGAGCACTTCTTCTCTGCAACAATGTAATAATAGCATTAGTAGGATAAGGAAATCAATAGAAAATATATAAAATATAAGTTTATATGTTACTATTAACTTAACCGCAGTTGTAGTTTGTTTTGTGCATGCCGACGATCTTTTTGTACGTGCTTACACCTTCGTTTTGGCCGACTAAAAGGCCCCACCCTTTGCCACAGCTCCGCCATCCTTGCTTTTTATATAAATACTCAATCGTACATAAAAATGTCACTCCATGCCCATGCACACCGACCACACCCTTCTCCACCCATTTAAAGCGTTCTGTGTGGCGCAATTAACCAAAAAAGATTTAAATGAAATATGCACGCAGTCTTACCGCTGCCTTATACATATGTACTTACATACAGAAAGTACATGTTTCGAAGGATTGATGTGTATTTTGAAAAATTAAGTTCAAAGTTAGAGTTAATACCCCTGCAACTTGCTGATCAGTTTCTATTAGAGCTAAATAATATTGAAGTGTTACAAACTTAAAATAAATGATTAGACATTTTAGTAACAAAAAAATCGTTGTACCAAACCAATAATTACATTTAAACAAACTTTTTTGAAAAGATGTATTATCTAAGAATGAAAATACTTCATATCAGTTTATACCAACCCCAAAAAAAAAGACGATATGTACATACATATGTATATTCCAGCCGCTGTGTCTTCGAGCGGATATCCACTGTACATTTACGGGCATGTAACGTTCTCCCTTCCATTATCTAAACCTTTTGTGCTATATTTGCTTTTAGCTTTTCTACTTTTGCCACAGTATCTCTCAGTCACAACAACTAAAAAAAAACCGTTGAACTGCAATCAGTCGATCGTCTGTTCAAAAAAAACCGCTGACCACTCTTAAACTCTCCGCCGCCATACCCACGAACCGCCAGCCGATCAACATCAATACAAAGTGCGAATTAGCAACAAAACAGAGAGATAATTAATTTGATGATTTTTCAAGAGCAAAACAAGTCGTCAACGTTTTGAAGGGCGAGTAAATAAAAAAATAAACAAACGGAGCAATGTAAAAGTCAAACGAAAATAAAAACAAAAACTTACGTCACAGGCAGAAAATTATAGAATAAACACTGGAAGAAATTAAATATTTATTTGGTTATATCTTCGTTTAAATAAAAACAAGAATAGCGGTCGTGACTCTCACTTACAAAAAAATATAGTTTAACATGTCACTGTATGCTCTGCTTCTGTTGGCTATCTCTGATATAAGCCCTTAATATGATCATGTGTTTAAAGTCCCCCCCTCCAAATCGAAACACCACATCAAGACTATAAATCATCGAATCGTAGGACCTGAGCCCATAATGTTCTTCAGGGCTGGGAGTTTTTTCCGAGTGCTTGTTGTTAGAAGACAGCGGTGCTTGAATAATTCATGAGCAAGCTGTTTTGGTCCGACATAACTATAGCCATGTAATATGATAACGCCGATAAAAAGACTTCTGCCTCTCTGCGAATACATATATATTAGCAGAGAGGAAGCCCGATCGATCGGGAGATGGATTGCCTCTGTCAGCTGTCTTTTTAATGCCAATCAAACGCGTTTTGGAAAACACGTTTTGAAAATTTTTACAAATACTCAGCATATCTCAAGAAATCTAAAAAAAGGCAAAAGAAGTAGTTCAAAATGCATTTTTGTTTATATTAAAACAAGAGAGAGCTAAAGGGAGTGCGAGGTAGTTGGAGATATACAACTTTGATCGGGCATAACTTTTTAATGAGTGGTCCGGTATAAACAAACAATAAAACTGCAATTTTACTTTTCCGAAATTTTTAAAGGCCAAACACCTTTTAAAATCGTTTGGGGCGATTGTAGGCGTTAGAGGGGGCGTGGCCCTTGGGTGAAACAAACTTGCGCTGCGTAGAAAGCCCAAGAATATGTGTGGGTAATCCCAACTTCCTATCTTTTGTAGTTTTCGAGATCTCACCGTTTATACAGACGGACAGACAGACGGACATGGCTAGATCGTTTTGGCCAGTGATCCTGGTACTATTTACTTTGTAGGGTCCTTCTAGCTCTTGCATACTTTTGCACGAACGGGTTTAATAAATGAATTTCATATTCCTTATATGTATACATATCTGTATATATTTAAATATAACATGTTTGTTTGTTTATATATAAATGTTTGTATTGGACAAATCTAAGAAAGTCGACCACCCCAACTTAAAGGTCGTTCCATGTTACAACAACAACACCTTCTCCATATTCATTTTGAAATTGGTGTTTGTTTGTCGAGACTCGAATACACCTACAAAATCGAGTTTTTCGACTTGCGTATGTATGTATATAACTTTTGTATATGCTTCAACTTGTATAATAATACAAGTATAAATACATCATACATAGGTACGAAGAAATCATAATTATAATTTTAACAAGGCAATTATCAAAAACCATTGTTCCATCACCACAAGAACTCATTTAAAAAACATCTAAAATCAACCTTATCATTTTGAGACGCACTGTGGAAACATTCTTGCGTTTAATATAAATTAAAAATCCAAAAATACGCTCGACCGTTCAACCAGGTTTGACCAGCTTTTTGTTATTTTTTTGTTGGGGAGAAGAATTGGGTACGCTTCTGCTTCCTGCTAGAACATGTTTCACCACTCGCTTTGCGGTTGTTAATTATTGCCCTAAACGTAATAGACATCATCGAGATCCGGGGTTATCTCTCGCAGTAATCATCGAGCATTCGTCCCCTGCAGCTCGGCTTCATATAGAGATATAAATAAATATTCACTAAAAATAAACCATCGCGCCGTGATTATTCCAGGGTCCGACCACTGGGCGTGCTGTTCCTGGGATTCCTGGGCTATTGGATCTACTGGACACGCTGTAGCTTCCGGATTGTGCCCACGGACGAATTGCGCGGCAAGATAAACGGCTGGCTGCAGAGGATTGACGACTGGCGCCACAGCAGTCCCAGCATGTTCTGCTTGGCCAGCAGCGGCTGCTTGGGCACCCTTGCGGTGCTCGGCCACCTCTTCTCCGGCTCCACGCTGGTCCTGGCCATCCTGGTTGTCTCGGCCCTTGTCTCCACCAAGTACACCTTTAAGCTGCTGAAGATCGAGCACAAGGGTGAGTGGTCAGTGAGAGGGGCTATTGTGTCTTTAGACAAGACTAACTTTAGAAGTAATGGTAGAAGTGATAATATTATTGTAAATATTAGGGGTTCGGCTTATACATACTTACTTCGTTCAGTTTCAATGCTTTTTGTATTGATTTGAATATTTTGGTAGTAAAAAATGCAAAGACCGTACAAAATTTTTTTTCGGTATTTTCATATATATACAAATATGTTTTAATATGCAAACAAATTAAAAGCATTTTAAAATTTGACAAAATATTTATACTCAAAAATATTGAATACAAAATGGACCCCTGCGTAATTCATTAAATTATTTTTTGCATCGGTGTATGCCATGAATTTTTTTATTCATTTATTCAAAGCGAATGAAAGAATAATTTCTATGAATTTGCCAGAATTTATTTTTTCATTTTTTAAGAAGAAATAGAAATAGAACATTTTTGAAAAAACAATGTTAAACAATAGTGTATCGAATTCAGGCAGATTAAACCATTAAATTAAGGAATTTATGCCATTTTTTTCTATTAAACTCAAATTCATTCAATTCTGTAAAACTCTAAATTCAAATTGGTTGAATCACATAAATCAAAAAATATTTAAAATAATTTATGCAGGGGTTAGAACAAATCAACGGTATATAGGAAAATAACTAGAAATATCAAAATATTGCAAATATCTTACCATATTTGAAACGATTGCTTACACGGAAGCTTATGTACTTTTTTTCAGTTGCGTAGAAAGAAATCGAGAGAAGGGTTTTTAGAACAAATTTTGAGTATTATACTTTTAAACACGCAGTTTTACACTGTATGCATTGGATTTTATTTGAAAGGGTACTGCATTAAAGCAACCTTTTAGGCTTTGTATAGAATTTATGGAGGAAAATATTTATTTCTTGGTTTAAAATAAATTCCCTTTTTTAGACTTCCAGTGGTCGGAGAAACTCAACTACAACAACTTGGAAGCCGAGGCAGAGGACGAGTTTCTACCGGACGTGAACGAATCAAATCTGTTCGTGCTGGAGCGGGCAAGCGATGTGGCCACGATCAGTTCACCCACCGATGCAAATGACGAGAAGGATGACGAGCGCAGCGACGATATACCGTCGGAGCTGCTGATTCCGGATGTGATACCCGAGATCGACGAGCAGTCTACCGACGAAGACGATGAGCTGGCTCCACTGGCGGCCAAGAAGCAGCATGGCGAAAACCAGCAGCAGCAGCATGAACAGCTAGCCGAGGAGAACGAGGATATGAAATTCAGGAAGGGTCACTTCAAGCGCGATTCGTCCCTGTCCACCACGTCCTCGTCTTCGGAGGAAAGCCTGTCCAAGGGGCTGCAGTTCCCCGATCACACCTCCGTAGACGCGAGTGGCAACACTCGGTTGCGCCAGATAACCGCAGGACCCGATCCCGCCGGCGAGCTTATGGCCCTGGCCGTGAAATCCCAGGCTCAGGCGCTTTTGGCCAACAGCGGGAAGCTCCTGCCCAGTCTTGTCTCCGGTCTGGTGCAGTGGGGATCAGGTGGCGCTGCCGCAGCCAGTTCCGGCGATGATGCGACCGATGCAAGTCGGGATCGCAAGCAGCAGCGCATGGTCACCGCCTTGGATTCTTCGGATGAGAGTGACTTTGAGATACTCGAAACGGATGATTTCAAGTAAAGATTGGATCAAATCGGAGATCGTTCCGATTTGTCGTATTATAAAGCTATTATCTTAATATACATATGCATACACACACAGTACACAAACCAATCGACAGACAGAACAAGGAAACTCAGACGACGCGGACTGTTGGAACGGTTATATTTTCCCTGGTGGAGATCAGTTATATATTTTGCTATACACTAGTGCTCTATATACATATATACTAAACTAAACATACAAAACTACCCTAAAATTAAGCCGAAAGTTTTCGTTTTCGTTTGATTGCTATGTACATTTTTGTTTATATAACCTTATGCTTATTCCTATTTTACTATTTGACTCTAGTTTGTATTAGTCTTGTTATGCCTATCTACTGATCACAAACAGAAACAAGAACGACCGACGCATGCAAAATGTACATATACTACAGATACACTTATCTATATGTATGGTTTATATTGATGTCGCTGTGAGGGCATTAAGCTACTTAATCTGAATCCAAATCAAAAGCCTAAAGCAGCAATTTAAAAACCAAAAAATGACATTAAGAAAACAAACATGAAATATGGTTCAGAGATATCTATAAAAAAATTCGGCATAAAACGTGCACAAATCATAACAAAACAAAAATTATAAGAAATTGAAGACACTCGTTTTACTGGCGACTTTTGTCCCTGGCTATCATTGTACGTTGAAGAACATAACTAAAACATTAATTCCTGTGAACGAAATTTTTTTTGTATTTTTATTATAATTTGCGCTATGTATTTTAAGTTGTAATTTAATTTGCGAAACAAAACTAAATGTGATTTTGTAAAAACAAAAGAAACTGAAATAAAAATCAAAAAGACCTCGAATTGCGATCTCGACTGTTGTCAACTGTCCAAGGGCTGGCATTTAGTTTCCGGTTCGATGGCGGCTGCGGATGGCTTCTTTGGCTCAGCTTCCAGTTTTTCCTCCCTCTGCTCTAGTACTGGACCCTGCTCCAGATCCTGGCGTCGCCCTAGAACCTCTATCTCCTGCTCCTTCCTTTCATTAGTGGCTTTCGCTTTGGCTCCCTTGCGCATGGGAATCGTGTCCAGAATGGCCGAGGTCCAGTCCTGGCCAGCAGCTACCTTAATTAGCAACTCGAAGACTGAAAGACGACAGTATTATTGTTTATAAATTCGAAAATGTACAAAATAACGAGTTTAACTTTTTTTAAGTACCCTATAACTCAGGTAAAACTCAAAATTTGCTATAACCGTCAAACTGAAGTTTTTTTTGTCACTGTGAACCGGAAATGCAAAAAATTCGACGAAAATCGTACTTTCGGAACGGGATATTTTGAATCCAAACCAACGACATAATCAATTTATAGAAAAGGTTTTTGTTTTCCACAAAGTCGCGACTTAGCTTGGTATTTTTTAAACCTAAACCGACACTTGACCTCTAGTCGAATAAAAACGTATCATAAAGTAGAACGGTCGCCAAAAAAAGCAAACATATATATAAAAAAGAAAGTTTTTTAACGTATACTTAAACTTCTCAAAAAATTACACTGGTCGACAAAAAAAAAGCCCAAGAATAAAAGCTACCAAACCTGAAAGGATTTTGAAATTAAAGATTCAAAGTACCTTTTCCGCTAAATTTTGGCTCTGGGCTACGAAAGGTTTTCTTACTATAAAGCCGCAAAAAGTGCCTAAAAATCGAAAATTTGGAACTTTGACCACGGATTTCTAAAAACGTCGACGTGTTGGAAAGTTTCCAAGTATGAGGTAGTAATCTACAGCTATAATTCTTTCAGGTTTTGTAGCGTTTATTCTTGGGCCAAGAAAAAGTCTTGATTTTGTCGACCTGTGTTATTTAATCGAACTAATATTTGAAAATCAACACCGTACTATTTTTTATTTGGTGATTGAAGTCCGCATATTCGTAAAGTTGCTTAATCGGTGATTATTTTAACAGAAAAAAACATCTCAACAAAAATTATGTATTATAATCAGGGACCTTAAATAACAGTTATTTGAGACTTTTATTTTAAAAGGCCTACTAAGATTTGTTCAATTTTTTATCAACAATTTTACTGGTTTTTATGCACTTTATAGACATGGACAAATAACAGTTAATTTGCTTTCGAGATTTGTTGAAATGCATATGCTTTGTGGACAAGAGTAAAAAGAGTGTTATTTTTGACGTTTAAAACAAAATATCACGGTAGTCTTTTTAAAATAAAATGAACACCGCATAATTTTTTAGTTGTTCGATATACTTAGATATGAAATCAACTTGGAGTGTTACGGGTAACTTGTACATTAGGGCGGTCCACATTTGTATGGAAAATTTTAAGGTCCTACTCTCACCCGCTTATGCGGTGCGCATTGTGGTATTCAAGGTTTACCAAAAGACAATTTTTAAAAAAATCATGTTTTAGGGTCTGCGAATTGGTTTCAAAGTTTATCCCCCATACGCACTGTTGCCTTCGATCAAAAAGTTTTTCTGATCAAGGTGGCATAGATATCAACAATTCAGTTGATGTTTTGCTCTCCTTTTTTTACCAATTATTCCAACGAAATTCATAATTTGACAAGACAAGAAATGGGAGAACGATTTTGTTCGACCAAATTCGAACTGTTATACATGTCGTATGAGTAATTTTAAAGAAAACTTTGAAGACGTTTCGCAAGGTCTAAATCTCGAAAACAAATTGTTTTGTTTTCACATACATTTTTTGCATACTTAAATATACCATGTTAAGGGGTGAGAAAAGAATTTCATTTTTTGGACCGCCCTATTGTACATATAATTCTCTGGTATTCTGATACCCAATAGGGATGAATGCGGGGAATTGGGTGTCGCCACTCACCATGGTAGGTACTGAGCACGGCCCGTGTCTTCATGTCCACGTGCTCACTGAGCGGCAGGCGGGCGGTGACCAGGCCCGCCTCCGTGGCCCTCGAGTGGCACAGGCCCTTGAAGTGATTGTGGTCCACCAGGCCGCCGATGACGTAGGTGCAGCCGGGCTGCAGCTTGTCCAGCACCCGATCGGACTCGCAGGTTAGGTAGACCAGTTGGCTGGTGTCGAAGACCTCGGTGTGTCCGCGATCGAAATGGTAATCCACGTGCCAGTTCTCCCAGCCGTCGTTCTTCTTGAACGACTGATGGATGTGCCCGTTGCGCCGGATGCCCGTGAAGTGCAGCTTGCCTGGCTGCGCACTGCGCCGATTGATGGTGTAGATTCGCAGGCACTGCTTGACGCACTTGGAGATGTCCCGCTCCTGCATCAGATCGTCGTAGTCCAGATCGATGGCAACGCTGAGGCCAGGCTGCCCGCTCTCGGCTGCCTGGCGTTTCTTGAGCTCTTTGCGGGAAGGCCCAATCCGGACCGGCAGACCCTGCTCCTTGGCCTCCCGACGCTTCTGCTTCTTCTTCTCACGCTCCCGTTCGCGTCGCAGCTTCCGGAGCTCCGCAAACTCGGCCAGTTTTCGCTGCTTCTTCAGTTGATTTTTGCTGCACGGCGTGCCGGGAGTGGTGCCCGGGCAGTTACTTAGGCTGAGGACCTCCGGGGGCGCCACCTCGAGCACCTGTTCTTCCGTATCCATAGTAATTTAATAGTTCAATTTGAATCAGAAAACCTCTGATATTTCATCTCAAACAGCTGGCTTCACTTGACAGTGTTTTCAGCGCCTAACAGCACAACGTCGTGCATTAACAGCACTCTGTTAGGCGGGCGAAATGCTAGCCATTAAAGCCAATTCTAGCTATGGATTATATCCGCTAAAAATGAATTTTTTTGTGCTTTTTACTTTTTTTTACTTTTAGTTTTAAGAATACTAATACAATTATACTGATCGGACCCTCAGAACCAAAAATTTGACTACTTAAGCTGAACATTAGAGGTGAACACCATTTAGGAACACTTTAATTCCATAATCATTGTGCTAATTTTTTTTTATTTTAGAAAAACTAAGTTGAAAAGTTATTAAAATAAGTTGACATTACGCACTTTTAAGACGCAAAAAAACCAGGGACCGTAAATAACAGTTATTTGTGATTTTTTTTTTAAAAGGCCTACTGAGATTTGTGCAAGTTTTATTTAACAATTTAACTGGTTTTTATGCACTTTATAGACATGAACAAATAACAGTTAAATTGCCTTTCAGATTTGTTGAAATGCATATACTTTGTGGACAAGAGTAAAAAGAACGTTATTTTTGACGTTTAAAACAAAATATCACAGTAGTCTTTTTAAAATAAAAATCTCAAATAACTGTTATTTACGGTCCCTGAAAAAAACACATTTTTAAGAACACTTTTCTTAAAAAAAAAGCTAAAGCTCTGGTACATCGACTCTCGCCAGCACTGTTACTTAACATAGCCCGATAGCCCGATAACGTCAGCAGGCCAGGTGAAATCAGGAGATTTATTTGATTGCATTGAAATATATGAAATAAGGCTAGTCCCACTTATTTAAGACTGTATTGAGTCGGCTCTGTGTGGGAACGTGCGTCTGAAAGCATCGACCGGAGAAACGAGCGAATCGGAAGCGACCAATCCGCGTCAACCATGGCAACGGTAGCCCTGCTCTCGCGGCAGCGCCTGCTGGCCTGCACCTTGCGGCTCTTCGGTGGCGCCCACTCCAGGTGTCTGACGGCGATGGCCAGAACTACGAGTCCGCCTGGCGAATCCTGGTCACCGACAAATCGCCCAAGCCTGCTCCTGCCCACCGCCACCATCCGCTTCAACCACAAGTCGGCGAACCCGGCGGCAGCTGCTCCATCTCCCGCTGTCGATGACTCCTCTGCAGGCGGCAAGGATGTCAAGACAACCGGCAGCACTTCGTCCAGTGATCTCTTCGGCGAGGCGGCCAACATGGGTCTGTTCGCCAAGTTCAAGCACATGTACAAACAGTACTGGTACGTGCTCATCCCGGTGCACGTGCTCACGTCGGTGGGCTGGTTCGGAGGCTTCTATTACCTGTCCAAGAGGTGGGCTCCGGCTGTCTGTCACTGAAATCAAATAAACATTCCTCCCTTTGCAGTGGCGTTGATGTGCCCGCTCTGCTGCAGTACGTACACCTCAGCGAGAACATCATTGAGAAGGTCCAGGGCTCGGATATGGGCCACTATGCCATTGCCTATCTCTGCTACAAAGTGGCCACGCCCCTGCGTTACGCCCTCACTTTGGGTAAGGTTCCTTCGTTCTTTTTTTTTTGCCCTTTTGGTGTGATTTTTAGCTTTGAACTTAAAAAACATGATCTTTAGTGTGATGCAATACCTTTGCCTTTTTAAAAAATAGGACCCAGTCTTGAAACTTTGTTAATATCAATACACAATTTCACAGAATCAGCTTGATTTGCACTACTACATATTTTTGAATCTTTTAAAGACCTGCAAACACTTCCATATTAAAAAGGTATAAGAGCGTTATTATGAACTACATTTTGAAAATTAATTTTGTTATATTGCAAAACTTATTAAAAATGATTTTATTTTGCAAATTTAAATTTTTCGCTTGAACATCTAGATTGTATAACCTTAAAAAACTTTAATTTTGCAAACTAAACATTTAAATATCACCCCCTTTGCAGGCTGCACCACAGTGTCCATTAAGTACCTGGTACAGCACGGCTACATCAAGCCGATGCCCACCAAAAACGAGTTGATCAAAATGTACGAACACAAAAAGGCCACGCGAGCCAGCGCCAAGGCGGACAAGGCCGAGAAGGACGAGAGCAAATGATCCTCGGCCACGGGCGAGGACACCGCCACTTCGGCGGAGTCGTTGCCGTTGCCACAGTCGCAAGATCCTAAACCGCCGCCACCGCTGCTGCCATTACCAGTGCCCCAACGCGTTGGCGATCAGCAGCGGCCGGCCGCCAGCGAGCGGCGTGCAGTTAACCTGTTGTCTTTTTTGTTAAACTACCGCCGCTCATGCTGGCACTGGTGCTTAACGAACCTAACTCCTGTCCGAAGTCACAGTCGATCACAAAAGCAGCACCCGCCACCCTGAGCTACCGATGCAGACCCGCCCACATCCACACTTAAATACCCACAATCCCACGGAATCCGATTTAAATACACCCTTCGAGTTGTATATGTAGTTTTCCTATAGTTTCTGTTGCAGTTACGAAACCGCTGGACGCCGTCAATAAAAAACCAAAACATACTCAAAAAACAGAGCCGCAGGACGTGGAGTTAAGTAGTAGTTATTTATAGATATTTTTTGTAAATGTGAGAAAGTTGTCGCAAAACAATAACTTAACTTTTATTAAATTTAAATACAAATAAAATGATGACACCCCGGTTCAAGGGCGTAACTGAAATCGCCGAAACGGGTGTCCAAATTGTTGACATATAATAAATCTAGTATTTCCAGTTATATTATTGAAAACTGAGTTATTTCTTTAAAAAATATTATCTTTTGCAAAATCAGTTCTTGGAGCAGAATTGGAGGCTTGTACTAAAAGCAAAAATAGCCTATTTGCTAATTGTCACTAAATGTTTTTTAAATAATTAATAATTTGTTACCAATAAATTGTATTTTAATATTTCTACAACAAGCGAAATTAAATTCGTTTAAAACACGGAAAATATCGATATTGTATCGTTATTTTACACTGAAGTCGATATATTTGCCATAAATTCAAATTCTTTTTAATATATCGGACCAATTTCCACTTTTAAAGCCGCATGCACTTGTCTAACAAGAGCCTAAATTAAAAAAAAACAAACAAAATATGTACAATTTTTTGAATTTTTGATATACGATATATGATATTTTCGATACGAAATCGAGAACGGTTTTCTTTCGATATATCATATAGGAGTCTTCTTCTCGATATTCATCCCTTATTTAAAATTAAATATTTTAGTTGATAGAGCTTTTTCGGAGAGGATAGTCCAGCATATTTTACCACCCATGCTTTGATTACAGCCCTGGTCGGTAAACATATCGACGCGCTAAATAAAACAGTTTTCGAAAATTAAATTTTTCAATTTTATTTTTGCGTTTATTTTTGCATTTTTTTCTTGGTGATTTTTTCTTTTTTTTAATGTTTTTGGTTTTCTTTAACGTTAGTAAAATATCCAACAATTTTAATTGAAACTAATATTTAAGCCGGAAAAAATATAGGAGTTGCATTTTTTTTTACAAATAAATAAATAATGTGTCTTGTATATTTTTATTATCTTTCATTTAGATTTTGGTGCCGTGTAGATGTTGTTTTAGTTTTTCTGTAGCTGCTTTTGGATGTCGGAAACAAGCTACATTATGTACACATCCTGTTTCGCAGAGTATAGATGTAAGTGTAGGTGTCCGTGTTCTTTATATAATTTACATAGATACAATAAATAAATAAATTACATAATATATGTAGGTATAAAACAAAATAAGCAACAAAAAATATATAGCAAGTATAAAAGGGATTGCTGAGGTGATGGAAAACCGCTAGCCTTAAACTACAAAATACGCATAAAATCAAACAAATAAAAACAGGTTTCGTTTAGTAGCCCTCATACTAAACTCTTTTGTTTTTAAGACTAGTTTAGGTAGCTTTACCCAAGCCTAACAAAAAAACACTCAAAAAACTTCATAAATTTGAAACGAACTTCATAACGGTCTTTTGTGCCCTGGGGAGTTTCCCTTTTTTATATGGGCTGGATGGTTTTGTTGGTTGATTGGTGTCTTGGCTAAAGAATAACAATGGTTTTTTGGTGTTGTTGCTGCTGATCGCTTCAATTTTTTAAATTTTACTACTAGCATTTATCATAAGTACGTTTTCACAATGCAGATTTCAGCTTCACTTCGCACCCCCTTCCATTCAATTTGTTGCTCGTTATCAATTAATTAATATTACTTTCTTTTTTAGTTGTTAAAAAGCCATTTCTCTTAGCTAGTGTGAATTTTGTGGTGCGATTGCGTTTTGTTTGGTTTTAATCGTCTTTAGTTTGAATTTATTTATATTTATTGCAGTTATTGTTTTTCTATTTTTATGAAATATATTGCACAAGACGAATTTTAAATATATAATTAGTTTTCCTCTCCCACTTTTCATTTTTTGTTTATTTTTTTTACACACAACCACAGAACACTATCTATCGTTCGGCAAACCAATGTGAGTAAGAGAGAGATAGAATGACAGGCGAAAAAGAGACAAGGAAAGTGGGGCGATGTAAATTGAAAATTTAGTTTTTATAAATAACACTTAAAAAGAGAGAAATAGTGAAACATTGTATCGTTGCTGCCGCTGATTGCTATGTGTGTCCTTACAAAAGTATATTCTGCCACTAGTTAGTATTAGTATCTCTTGCACTTATCCTGGGGCTTGAGGTTTTTTGGTTTGCCGAAAGTTGTTTATTGCACAGATTCATTGTTTTTCGTCGGATTTTAATTATTGTTCTTTTACTTGTTTCGTTAAGCCATCGAAGTTCGTTTTTTATATGTACATTAATCCTCGTTTTGTATGCACTTTTATTCCGTTTTTCTTTTGGTTTCTGCTTTAAGTTAGGAGTTAGTTCTGTTTTGCTTTTAAGTTGAGTTAAATTAAGTAAATTTGTTTGTATGCAATTCTACGAAGCGTTTCTTAGAGTTCGTTTGTTGGTTGTTCCATTTCCTCTCGCTCTCATCCCGCTCCCATGGTCATCCTGGTTTCCATCCCGATCTGAGGAGTGCGCCGGGACATCTGGATCTGGGACATCGTCATCAACACTGCACCTGACGGTTGCCGTAGGGCACGAATTGGGCCTTACGCACGCTCGTAGAAAAGAATATAGGCACTGGATGAAACGAGATGGTTTTCGGACAAGGCATCGCTGACGCTGTGGAATCAAGTTGATCACTCAATTAAAAGACTTCAAAGGGTTTGCTTAAGTTAATTAAATGTATAAAATATATTGCCCCGTAAGGAGTATTTTCGATCTTAAATTTGGAGGATATATATACTTACATATTATCATTGAACTCATGCCACTTGCGGGATGCGGGATGCTTGCAAAGAGCCACATAATGACCGCCAGCTGTTGAGCCTGTGGGATAAATATTAATTAATAAGTGTACTCAAATCCAAAGATGTGTTTGCAAGTCACCCATATGATTGGATATCGCATAGAGCGAGTAATGCACATTCGAGTTAGAGTTGGCGCCATAGGAGCCCATGTTCAGCTCGCTGTCCGATGTGGGGAACTCAACGATGTTGGACAGCTTGCTCCAGCGCGTTTCCGAAAAGCGCTTTAGGTCTGTAAGTAAAGTTAAAGAAGGAAGTTATTAATTTAGACCAACAATTAAACAGACTATCAAGTCCTTTGCAATGATACAGTTTTAAATAGTACGGATATTTGAATATATGAAAAATACGATTTAAAAAGTTTCATGTCAATAACGAAATTCCTTCATCTGCAGCTTAATTTTTAAGTAATATCCCAACGTTCCTATGAAAGTTTCAGGTGCTTAGTGGTAGCTTTAAACTGAGCTCAGAAACGGTATTGAAACAGACGGACGTACGTGGCTATATCGACTCCCCTAGAGATCCTGATTAGGTATATATATACTTTATATGGTAGGAATCGTCTACTTCACTGCATTGCAAACTTCTGTCCGAATTTAAAATAAAGGTATAAGGTACAAGAGTATAAAAAAAATAACAAAAAATTAAAATAAAGAATTTAAAAAAATGTCCTTTCGAAATATAATAATATAAATATAAGAAATTAATTAGTTTGTCGATCAACGACTTACCGAAATGAGCATAGTAACCCTTAAATATTTATATTAATTTTGTGTGTATTATTTACATCGTTTTTAGTATTTCGGTAAGTTGTAAACCAATTTTTCAACATATTTTCTATTATCTGTTTTATGACTGTTTAAGTTATACAACTTATTGAGTGCATTATCAAACTATTCATTTTTTTAATTTATGCAACCTCTGATAAGTAATTTTATGAGGTAAACCAATGGTATGAAACTTACGTATAACTAGATATTTGGGGAAACGCTGAATGGTGAAGCTCTTGGTGCATTTCCGCCGCGTCTTGCACTTGGCGCACGTGGGCATCTCATCGCCGTCGAGTACCTCCTCACGGATAAAGAGGTCGAGACAGGCCTCCAGCTTACAACGCGACGAGGACGGCAGCGGTACGCTTAGATCCCAGAACGGATCGAAGGTGACGCTGGTGTTGCCGCAGGTGGTGCACTTCAGGGTGCTTTTAAGCTGACCCACAAAGAGGTCGCGCACCAGCGAGTTCTCGTGCCGCGTATACCATTCCCAGGTCAGGTCTGCCTTCTTATTGTCACTACGGCAAGTCAAACATTTAGCTCATTAGTGGATGGGGAATACATATCAACAAATCAAGACCAACCTGAGATTATCGTCAATGCTGAGCGTCTCACCCTTGACGCCCGAGTTTAGGGCCGAGTGCAGCGAGTCGAGGAAGAAACGCAGGAACTCCTGCGCATCCTGTTGGTTATAGTCGCTATACATGCGGTGCTTGGTGGAGAAGGCCCGCTTCAGTTCCATGGGCGTCACAGTGTGCACATTCGACGTCCACATCTCCTGGATAAGTTTGGCAAATTCTGCAAACACAAATAAGGTTTTAACATGGACAAATGCATAGGTCGGAAATAAATCTCACCGTGGAGTATCTGCTGATCCTTGGTGGAGGACGAGCGGGAGCCATGGTGCGACCGCAAGAAGCGTGTCAGCTCCTGAGTGTGGCTCAGACACTGGATGACAGAGTTCATGAAGCAAGTGTTCCCGATGTTTCGCAGACCGCACAGACCTGTAAAAGGGAATTTCAGACAAAGGGATTCGGATTAATTTCAATGAATAAGGGGGTCGGCACAGCCGAGGTCTCTACTCCCCAATTGGGATGCGTGGGCTTGCATTCGCTAACGGAAGAATCTATCATACTCGCTCGATCCTCAGTCTTCTTATGACTCCCCTTCAACGTTCTTCTCTATATAAATACTTTTTCAATTTTTTTTTTATTTTATTTGAGCTTTCACTGAGAATTTCGATAGACTTTTAGAGAAATGGGAATGCTATTAGAGAATAAGTCAAAAGAATTTCATCAAACTTTTTGGCATTTTCTGTTGCAATGGTTCACAATGGGGATTATTTTTTAGGAATGCCGTAATGTGTTGAGAGTAGATTTCAGCGAAAATAATTAAGGTAGCGCACATAATTCGAAATGTCGGCAAACATCGGTTTTTTGTCTTCTTAGCTATACCGCGGAACCTGTAGGTGATTGGATATAAGTTTGTATGGGACTTTTACTCAGGAGCACCCAACTATCATGAAAAACTAGAAATGGTTCGTGGACATTTTTGGCTGTCTACCTGTCTTATTTTATAGCTTCGAAATGGTAAGTCGTGATGTTTTTAAAACATCAATAAAAAACTATTAAAAATGTTATTTTTTCGTTGTGAACAGGAAAAGTGTGAAATGTGAAAATCAGTCCTTCGAAACAGGTGTGGCCCACTTGAGAGATTTTGATGCTACTTGCTCTACTCTAAGTAAAAAAAACAGATTTCGAAAATTGTTACATTTTTAAGTTGACTGAATCATTATAGGGACTTGAACAAACACTTTTTTTTGTAGAATTTAAACAAGTCAAATTTAAAAAAAATACCCTTTGAACATCTATGTATGTTCAGCTGTAGTAATCCGACTGACCTTTCTTTCTTTTGTATTTATATCTTTGAAAGAAGAGGTCAAAATACAACTTTAAAAACCAAAAAGTTGTTCAGTTTCTAAAAAACACTTTGTATAAGTGAATATATTAATTCACAATGCAGACCTGTTCCTTATAAACCCACCTTCAGACTTCTCATCACGCGACGACGAGGCGCTCTTGTAGCCATCATCCGAATTGTGCTTCAGGGATGACGAGTTGAGAGCGGAGGAGGTGCTAACGCTGTTGCGGCTAGTGCCGCTGTCCCGATCCCGATCCCAGTAGCGATTCGACGTGGGTGTCATGGGCGGCAGCACGCTCCGAGCACTGCTGCTACTCCCAGTGCCGCTTCTTGCCGCCGTCTGAACAACAGAGAAAATTTTACAAGTGAGTATCATTTGAATCTATATTTAAGTTCCCGAACTCAAATGACAACATAGCGATTCCTTTCCAGTGATGGGGATATTTAAAGTACTTTGTGAATAATTTTTTAACATGCAATTTCATATTTAGGTATATTAAAATGTTATTCGATATTTAATAGGTATTTAATTTATATTTGAATACTTATGATTTTGGATACTTTATACCACAAGATGGCGTTAAAGGATTGTTCTCTTTTAACTTAAATTCTTGAAATTTTTGTAAATTTAATTTTATTCCCCAAGGAAACTGAGCTGAAAATCTTTATGAAAATAGTTTACTACCCAAAATTAATAAGTCGGAACAAGCGAGTTTTCTTTTAACGGAATTTTCCCATCACTGATAATCTCGATAGATGCATGTCGGTTCGGGCGACAGATTAGTCGTTAGTATTTAGGTAAAGTTAATTTAGTTAATCGAAGCAACTAGCAGTCGAACAATTAGAGATTTAGTACAGGTGTATTGTGTGTTTCATAATGCGGATGAAGAGTGAAAAGAGACAGCGATAATAGACGAGCATGCAAAGGATAACACAAACGAAACAGTGGTGCCTTGGCGTCATATCGATAGCGAAATAATCAAAAAAACGATAGATACAACAAAGGAATATATGTAGTGTGTGATGAGTTTAAGATATGAATATGGAAAGAATATACGTTCTAGCTACAATTTGAGTTGCTGATCTTGCCAAGTGCAAGAATCTCATGTATCATAATCATAAATATATATATATAAGAAGAGAACGGAATGGAGAACAAAAATAAAGCTAAACTGATCGGTGACCTGGCCAAGGACCGACTTACACTATCGCTGGCGGAGCTTGGGGCTGTGGCTGTGGCTGTGGAGACGGAAGACGTGGCTGGTGTTGGTGTTTCTGTTGTACCGACAACACTAGGTGTTGCTGCTGCCGTTGCATCGCTGTTTACCTTGGTGGCTATGGCCAGGCATTCGTTTGCCTGCCTGCTGCTGTGGGCTCCTCTCACCGTCACCTTGTTAATGGGCGAAACCACCGCAGTGCCGGCTCCTCCTCCTCCAGATGTGGCCGCCACCGGCGTGCTAACACTATTCATCGTGCCCGTAGTACGATAGGCTGCTCTGGTTAGAGAACTACTATAGCCCGCAGCCACTCTGATGTTGTCCAGGTCGCTGCTGTAGCGTTGCTGCAGGTTGCCGCTGCTCCCGCCTGCCTGCGATGCGTGATTGCTGCGACTGGTCCCGGCCTCGACTCCTGAGCCTGAGCCTGTCCCACTGCCAGACCCTGCCAGACCCGCTGAAGAGCTCGGAGCTTGCCTCTTCTGCCCACTGAGATTGTTGAACTTCTCTATGGAGGCCTTGATACTCAAGGAATCTATGCCATATCGCCTGGCATTGCTGTTACTCCTGCTCTCCGGGTTCAACTCGCCATTGGCCTGTCGATAGAGAGCACCACTGAACTTCTCATAGCTGGCTGCGAAGTTCGATTGGGCCGATGCTATAATTGTGGACTTGGGCCGTGGATAGCGATGGCTGGCTGTCTTCGAGCTAGCAGGTTGCTGCTCCTGTTGCTGCACTTTATTTGTTTGCTGGTGCCGCAGCTGCATCGGGGGAGTGATGGGCTTGAAGTAACATATGCTCGCCTTGGCTGTCGATCCCCCGCCTCCTGCTGGGCCACTTGTTGCCGGCGGATCATCGCTGTCTATGTAGCTAATGTCGTCGTGTTGGTCCTGTTGACGCTGCATGTTGTTATTGCCGCCGTTGTTGAGGTTAGTGCTGTTGTTATTATTGTTAGTGGCGTGGCCGTTCATCATAGCTGATCCGGCGGTTGATTGGTTGTTATTCAGCGGCTTCAGCTTGCCGTAGCTCCTGGTAGACGTGGAAGTTGCTGCTGCTGCTGTTGCTGTTGCTGTCGTGGAGCGGGCACTGTACTTGAGAACTCCGTTGCTGGTGGTGGTGGTGTTGTTGATGGTGGTGCTGCTGCTGCCGGTGGTTGTTGGTTGCTGATTGCCATTGAACATGGGCGTGCGTCGCATATCAACCAGCGCCGGTGCCCGACTACCGTTTTGGTTATTGTTCCTCGAGTCCTCACCTGCTCGACTCCGTCTGTGGGGCTGCGACGTGCTTTTCACTTTGCTGGCTGCCACCTGTGCGTGGGCCAACTCGCATTCGGCCTTCAGGAATGTGGGATCCTTGTAGCTGGACACTAAGAAGTAACGCTGATTGGCAGCCCGCACCGGATTGGATTGACTGTTCGCCGTGCTCGCCGTCGTGGAGCGGACCTGGGTTGCTACTCCGCCGCCTCTGCCGTATTTGGCTACCGCCAGGGCGGCGTGAGTCCTATCGACGACGGCCACCGAGGCTTCAGGAACTGTCGAGTGCTTGCCCGGCCCTGGGTTTTTCAGACGAGTGGCTAGGCTAGCAGTTCCCCGTCCCGATAAGGCAGATCCTCCTGGTGATGGCACCTCTGTTGCACTTGCTCCCAATGTTGCTGCTACCGATGATGTTGCTCCCGTCGCTGTCTGCAATTTGGATGCCTGTGGAATCTTGTGGAATCCTCTGGTCTTCTTAATGTCTAACATCATTCGACGGGATGGTCACCGCACTCCTTTTCTCTCTGCTGCAGTTGGTTCTCTAGCGTTTATTTTTGTTGCCTGCCTACGGTTAAGTGGATACGAGATTTTGTGTTGTGTTTGTTTGTTTCCTCGCCGCCTGCCAGGAATAAACTACTCTCGACTAACCGGATGATCCTGTCGTGCCTCGCACTATACATATATCCTAAGCAAATGGATTTTTTGATGATCTTATAATGGTTTCTTAGGGGGTTTTATTTTAGTTAGGAGTATTGTTAGTTAGCCTGGCGTTTAGTTGGACTTAAGTTGGTTTTTTTTTAAGTTTAGTTTAAGTTAGAAGGATCGCAATCTGCAAGAGTTTAGCTAAAAATACATAGAAATGTAAAGTTGATTAAATGATCGGCTTTTGCTGGGCTGACTGACGAACACACAGAGGGTGTAATGGGAATAGGAATAAAATGAGGTAGAGAGGTCAATGGTTAATGCTGGGTAATGGTTATACTGGTTAATGGTTTCTTATTTTTTCGCTTTTTCGCAAACGCCATATAATTGTTCGGGTTGTGGCACATGCAATTAGTTTGGTTTTCGTTTTCGGGGCAGCTCTTCTATTCTCCGCTTAGGTTCTGGCCAAAGTTTTTACCTTGCTACTGTCGTTTAGCTTAAACGTGGCCGAGGTGCTCACATCGGCATTGTCCGCACTATCCTGGCATACACCTGCATCATCGGTGGTGTCCTGATTTCGTTCATAAATGGCATTTCTTTTCGGTGAAGTCGATAGCAGCGATAGACCATTTAGTTTGGCTCCCAGTTCGCCATTCGATTCACCTGCCTTGTGGCCATTTGTGGGTGGAGGTGGTGGTGGTGGTGGTGGAGGAGCTGCTGGAGGAGCTGCTGCTGATTCCACTGGCGTGGTCATGGGTGCCTCCGCCTGGCTGCGACGTGTGCGGTTGCTGCGAAGCGTAAAGGTGGCCGTGGGCACATCGCCACTGCTGCTGCTGCTGTTTATCGAGTACTTGCCGGAACCCAATCTTCCCGTGGAGCCCGCCGAGGAGTCCCCGCCTGCATCGCTGCTATTGCTGTAAAGGCGACTGTAGCGACTGCTACTGCTCCGGGGCCTCTCCAGCGTCACCGTGCAGGTGGGTGTCGTCTCCTTGTTGCCGCCATTCTCCAGTTCCGCCTCAGAATGCCCCGACCTGGAACGTGACAGTTCACAGTTGGGTTTATAGTTGGCCGGACTATACTTTTCGTATATGTCCAATCCGGAGGTGGCCACCAAACGGGCCAGCGATGGGGATGAGGATGAACTGGACAACCGCTTGCTGCCATCGCCTTGGGCGTCTCTACTGTTACTGATGCTGTGGCCACCACTTCCTCCGCTGATCGGTGGCTTCTTTGCGGAATCTTGGCCGCGCCGCAGACCGTAGTCCTCCCTGTTGGACGATCTGGTCAAGCTGTCGCCATTGGTTGTTGTTGTTGTTTTGGACGCCGATTTGCGCGGTAACTTTGATTTTCGGTTTTTGTAGGATTGATTTTCGATTTTGACGAGTGTTTTTGGCGAAACATTTACAGGTGTCAATGAATTTGTGGTGGTGGTATTTGTTTTTTTTGAATTGGAGTAACGGTAACGGTAAACGGCAACGATAAAACATGTTTCATGTTTTCAATGTCAAAAAGTATTTAACAAAAACAAAATGTAAAGAAAAGAAACATCAATGATATGGTCAATGTCTGGATAGAACACAAATGAACAGCAAACGATATATGTATGTATATGAAATAATAATCACCAAGATGACGGAACAGTGGCCTATTAATTATATTTATTTTATTGCACTAAAATAAAATCAAAAAAACTTTTGATTGAAGGGAAGATTTCAGTCCTTCGCTAATATTGGTTTTTATACTAAAAAATATTCGTACACAAAGAATCTCTGCGATAAAATAACTTTAATAGCCTCTATCCACAGAGAAAATCCCTGAGAAATCACTGAGCACATTCGCCTTCAGCTAACAGCAGTTGGTCATCAAAATAGGAAATTTAGCTCTGCAAAACTGTTCTACATTTTTTTCCTAATATAAATATTATTATTATTTAAAACCAAGTTTTACTTATAAAGCATGTCTTGTATAAAATCTGCATACAAATTGATTGTTCTCTACCTTCTTAGTACGCCTCTGGCTGACAGATATTATTATGTCGTAATTGCACAAAAAGAAGTCTGGAGTTTTTCTAATTTAAAGGAAAATTGCAGAATTTTATAAATATTCATAAGAAACTGAAAATAATTAAATATTATCCGAAAATGAGTGTCATTTAGTTTCGTATGAGTAAATACGCGGCAGTCCCACAGGTTCAATAAATGCCCCGATTACAAAACCCAATGGCTTATACCCTTGCAGAGGGTATTATAATTCTGGTAAAAAGTTTTTAACGCAGTAAAGGAGATGTTTCCAACCCTATAAGGTATATATGTATATTTTCGATCCCATATCACTTGACTATTCGACCTAGTCGTGTCCGTCCGTTTCTACGCTAACTAGTCTCTTAGTTTTGAAGCTATTGGGATGAAACTTTCCAAAAATATTTATTTTTTTTAGCAACAATTTGAGCACCCTATCTCAAGGTTCATTCAGGAATAATCGGAAAAATAATGAGAAAAAACTCAAAATAAATTCTGTGTTTTTTGACATATTATATTGTACTGTTGGAAATATCAATTTCGTTATATTTTAGAATTTTTTTTTAAATGCATTTTATAAAAACGTACAAATATTATACATGTGGGTATGCATGTTTTCCATTAAAAAGGATGGGAAAATGAATATCACCATAATAATACCAAACACTCCATATTTCAATATATACCAGGGAACGAAAATAACTGTTATTGTAAATTTTTCATACAAAAAAATCACGCACTCAGAAGGGTCCTAAAAATTTTTTAAATACACCACAATTTTTATTAGCCATTGTAGTTTACAAATCCGTAATGATTTTTATTTTTTGATTTTTATAATAAAACTCAAAAAATAACTGTTATTTTTTGATTTTTATGAATAACAGTTATTCCCTTGACATTTTTGAAAAAATGAAATAATTAAAAAAAAACATAATACCCGTGCTTTTTATAACTTACTAAAAATTTGTTAAAAAAGGCAACCGCGCATATTTTATACCTATATTTTTTTAAAATTTTGTTTACCCACAAAATCGCCATAAATCAAGTTTGAGTTTTATTTTGATCACGACGAATAACTGTTATTTGTCAACTTTTATTATAAAACTCAAAAAATAACAGTTATTCTTTGAGTTTTACTTTACAAATCAGAAAATAACTGTTAAAGTGTGATTTTTAAAATAAAACTTATAACAGTTACGTTCCCTGATATATACGGAAGTGAATAAATGTGTGAATTTTTGTAGAGGTTTTGGAATTAATTTGTCATTTTTTTAACTTTCCTTTCTTGTAATTAGTGAACCTTTGCAAGACTATTTAAACATTGCCTGCTTAGCTTTATTACATACTTTTATATTTGTAAATCCTTCATTGGTGGTGTCACAGAATTTGTTAGAAAAATTTGGTTGAAAGTCTTTTGTATTTTAATACAAATTTAAACCGTATTTGGTTGAAATAGATTTATTACAAGAGTATAAAAATAAAATTAACAAGCCGTTAACGGTACGATCTCTGAATGACCAAATTAGTCGTTGGATTTTGGGATCCAAATGTTCTAGCGTTACGATAAATAATAAAAGAACCTCGCTTTTATTAAACATTACTGTTGAAATTGGTGCGTTTGAAAGTAGTAATTAGTGTACTAACTTTCCGCATGTACAAATTTTTGTCAAGCAACAGCAAACGAAATCGACGCACCTACATAATTTGGATGCCAGATGTTAACTGAAATATATGACTAAAGGTGTGAAATGTCAAGGGGACGAACCAACTGATTGCTTTTGTTTTTCCTTACCAGCATTCCCCCAAAAAAGTGAAATATAGTAAACTTCACATGCGGTGTTCTCTGGGGCACTCATATGCACATACCCACCAACACTCGCACATCCAGACAAAGACAGCCGTAGTCCCAATGCAATAACCTTGTTGCGAATTTTTCAAGGGGCTTAAAGGGGACAGAGGATGACACAATTGTTGGTGCTGCGGCCTTTTGTCGTTGTGTTCCCGTTGTTTTAGTGTTGTCATTCGGTTGCTGTTTTATTTGTTATTGGATCGGTGCCAACAAGTGGTTCAGCTCAGTTCAGTTCAGCTCAATTCACACAAACGCATTCCATTTCTGGGACTTTGGATGTGAATGTGGACAGGAATGTTACTGTGAACGTGATTGTGAACTGTCCCGGGTTATTGACGCAATGGCGTAGCCCTAGAGCCGAAAAGGATCTTTCAACCGCGTTAAAAAAGTGGTCGTATTCTTATAAAGAACACCCCCGGTTAACATCTTCATTTAAAATACTGCGAATATTTGTAAAAATATTCCAAGATAATTGTACCTTATACTTTTTTTTATATGATATATAAAAATAAATATCTAACTATCTAAAAACCAATATAGAATCATAAGCCAAGTCGGACCAGAAATGTCTATCTGTCTGACCATCCTAACGGCAAGCTCTCATGAGCTAACCAATTTTAAGAATGTTTGACCGTGGATTTAATAATTTTAAATTTTTATACAAGTGCTAGCCACATAAGCATCTATATTCTTGATCAGTTTCACAAGTCTAGTCGATCTAGCCATGCCCGTTTGTCGGTCTGTCTGTCCGTATAAACAATGACAACTCGGACGCTAAAAAATCTAGAAAGCTTGAATTTATCATGCAGATTTTAGTAATTCTGAGCAGGGCAAGTTTGCTTCAGCCGAATGTTGTAAGTTGTTGACAAAAAAATACTTATATAAAATTTTGAAACAAAGATCTTTCTTCGTTGCTAAAAGTTCACTTTTATAATTGTTCTAATACTTGTTTTAATATATTTGTTATATTTTTGACGATTCAATAAATTCACTTTGAATATCGAGATCGAATTTGATATTTGTAAGGCCTTTAATTGAAGTGCACATTAATATGGTTACATTTAGATGTCATCATTAAAGAACGAATACTGTACCAGTGTCCGCTATCGCAGGTATAAAATGACTAATTGTCCCTCGGTTTGACTAAATACACTCGCTATTCGAATAGTGCGTGAGTGTTTGTCTTTATTCATGTGGGTGTGCATGGATGAGTGGGTGCTTGGGTTTGAATGGATGGTATAGTTTTTTGTTGTTGCAGCAACAAAATACAACACAAACAAAACAAAATAATCAGCA